CGTCGATGGAGACAAAATCGTAAAAGAAACTGGCTATAAAAAGCAAACAAGGATGAATTTCAAAGATACATTCAAACCCCCACAAGACCCACAATCTGGGCATTTTTAGGAGTAGTGTGACGTTAGTTTTAGGAAATAGTTACCTCTATAATTAAAACTATTAATTTCATCTTTTTGTAACTAAAATCCATTCTATTGGATTAATAAAGAAATTCTCTTGTTCATTGTTCGGTGTGTTTATCGCTTTAAATTTCATCCAAAGAAGTCTTGGAACTAGACAATTGAACCCATCGCTAGCAATCACCTATAAATTTTCTATCAATCAAGTCCCCTCTGTCGATAACAGGAAATTTTGGAGCAACAATCTTTTGGCACGCTCGATGGGATAACATTCCTAAATTGGATAAAGGAAAATTGAGAAAACAATGAAATAATATGAGATCGTATTTGGGACTAATGAAACTATGGCAATCATGAAACAAGTTTGAGTACAAATCCAGTGGAGTTTGCAAATCCTGGAAATGGCCAAGATAGTTTGCAAATGTAAGAATTTGTGCAGAATTTAAAACAAGTACTGCACAATCTTCTGGCATTAGGCAAGAATTAGTTAATGCCATGTATGAGTTAATAAATGCGCAAACACTAGTGTCATGACCAATTAATTAGAAATCAAACACTGCAATTAGAAACCAAGTGGTGGAGCAAGGAAATACTAGTCTTGTGGTATTCCTGTAAAAAGCCAGAGACCACCACCAGCAGTCACCAATAAAATACCAAGCTTATAACACCAAAACCACTTTAACATGGCGTTCAATGGGGAGCCTGCCGAAGTATTACCAAATTTTTTCCTAGGGAGAAATCCTAGGGGAAGGAATGGACCAAGGATGACCCCTGAATTTCCTAGAAAAGATCATGAGAGGCATGTTATGCCCCCAATGGAACCTATAGAGAAATTTAACCCAAGAGCATGGGTGCAACCCTTTGACCAAATGATGTTTAGAAAATATTACACACCATGAATTGACCATGAGGAATACTTGACCTTCAAAATGGGTTAAATAATCAAGGAATTCCTAAGAGTAGGAAAGGGTATCATTTTTGTAACTCGGTTGATTATCAAGGTCATCTCCTCAAGGAAAACAAATGGTTCAAGAGGTGATGGTCAAAGAAAATAAAAATCTTGAATTTTGAGAATTGATTGGAGAAATTGATCGCTTAAAGAAATAATAATTAAAGAAAAAAGTCAGTTGGTTAGTATAGATCACCTCACCTTGAATAGGCATTTTTGATTCAAACCCTATCACTCACTTAAGATTGTGGTTAAACGCGCTCTAGTGGTAGATATTTTTTTAACACCCAATTATAAATGACAAATATGTATTTAAGATAATTAAATTGATTAGAAAGAATTCACTTCAATTGTAGTGATTAGAAGAATTACCCGTATCAAGTCTTAGTTGTTGACGGATGAGTAAGAAGATATAGAAATCAGTAGTGTCTTCAATTCAAATCATTTAATTAATCTAAATAACTTGACAGTAGACTACACAACGATAAATTAATCCGTCAAAATTTCCAATTCATGGATAAGATTACTTCATCCGATCAACCCTGTAAACGACTACACATTCATAACTGAATTGAAATTGAAAGTAATTAAAGAAACCATCATTGTAAATGAAAGCAAAAAGACAAGAATTGAAATTACAAGAAAAATAAATACCTTGTATTGAAAATGCAATGAATGTAAATCGTTTGCGGAAAGAAACCAAAAGTAATTGTGTTGTAAGAATGTAATACTTGAATTTAAGCAAAACATGTAAAATAAGAAAATTGAGAAAGCTTAAAAGAAGAAGAAGAAGAAAATCTAAAACCCTAGGAAAGAGAAAAGAGAATAACGGTGACTTGAATGATCAAATGAAGCTCTCTTTCTCTCTCTCTCTTGCTTGACTTGGGTATTTATAGGGGATTTCCTACTGATTTTTCTCCCTTTAATCCAACAATCACGGCCCTCAAAATAAGTCAACCGATTTCCTTTCGGTAGGAAGCAGAAAACGATTTACCAATAGGATTATTCATTGTTTTCCTTCTATTGCTTGTCTTGCTCTCCTACTGGTAGAACATCTTTTTGTATTCAACCTACCGGTAGGACAATACTCACCTATCGGTAAAACAACTCTCTATTTTGAATCTACCGGTAGGATTGAACTCCTAGTGGTAGAACCAACTTCTGACTTCAGTTGCACCGGTAAAAGACCTACTGGCAGAAAGGGTTTTTTCTCAATCCTGTTTGCTATGGCCTTGGCTTTACTCCTAGACCTCTTAGCTCATCTTTCAAGTCTTCTATGATATTGAAACACATGCAATTTCATGTTCTTACACCAATTCACTTACAAACACCCAAGTTCACTATAAAATATCAAACTTAGCTAAAATAAATGAATTAAGCGACTAGTATGACTAAGATGAATGATTATGAGGCCTATAATATGCAATATTATACTCTCGTCAAGGAATTTCGAATGGGATATAAGATCCCAGAGTTCCATCTCTTCTTTGGCAAAGAAAATCAATCTACAATAGAACACGTAGGAAATTTCACTTTCCAATATGGGGAAGTCATAAATAATGACAATTTAAAATTAATTTATTTCCACAGTTACTAACAAGAATAGCCTTTGCTTGGTTCATAAATTTGTCTGCTAATTCAATCCAAACGTGGCAAGAGATGGAAAAGTAATTCCATGCTCAGTTCTTCATAAATGAAGCATAAATATCAATGGCAGATTTGTCAAGACTAAAGCACAGATCGAATAAATCTGCAGAATAGTACAACAATAGATTCAAGAAGGATAGAAACGAATGTCATATTTACTTGCCTGTAGTGGAGTTAGTAAAGTTGGCCAAGAATGGTTTAGACTTCGAATTAAGAAAGAAATTTAAAGGAATAGAGTTCAGAATAGTTAGAACTACTAGATATGAAATGTTATTTAGAAAAGAGCAATAGAAAAAAAATAGTTCATTAGAAACTTATTTTCAAGACTTCGATAGAGACATTAAGATAGATGTGCCACAAATCATAGGGAAGACAACAATCATGTGTGATACCCTAAAAAAGATTAAAGACCCTCCAAACATCCTTTTAAAAAGAATGCACCTCCAACCTCCAGGTTGTATTCATTTAACTTGTCAATGGCTAGTGCTCTCTTTAACGAGATGATCAACAAAAAATTCTTAATCCTGTCTCAGGGATATAGTATCCCACTAGAAAAAAAATAGAAAAGAAAAAGAATACTACAAATGACATAATTCATTTAGATACACGACTAAAAATTGAATCACCTTTAGAAATTGTGTGTGAGACTTAATCCAAAAAAGTATGCTTAAATATGCCATAAAAGACGAAATAAAACCATAGGAGTAGATAAAGATCATTTTTCCAAAGAAGTAAATATTAATATGGTTTCTGTTAATGTGTAGTGGACAAAAAGATTGCTAGTTTGTTGGTTGGTAGAGAAAACAATAGGCTTAGTCCTAGAGAGGAGGAGTCACTGATTATGTGCTTCAAATGTGCTAAAGAAATAGTTAAACCAGATGCAATACCACTTGACCATGTGGTAAGATAATTCACTGACAATGAGCTTCAATTCAGCACCAAAGGTGAAAGGATGTGCAGATCTACAATGGCTAGGAAAAGATACTCCATGATGCAAACCTAGACATCTTTTAGATAAAGGAAAGATACCAATTTGGTCCCCATTATTTCCCTGACACTAAGAGGGATACAAGGGGCATTAATTACCAAGGTCAAGCCAAGGGAGAGAAAATACAAGGAATGGACCACTATGTTAGACCATCAATAGCCAAAGAAATTGTTTGGTAGAAGATCAAAAGGCATGAATGCCAATAGCAAAAGACCCAAAATAGGAAAGGAAGATTTGAAGACATCACAAAAGCTGGGTCTAGAACAATGAATCCCCCAGAGGTTCATGATGAAAAATGGCACCATGTTCAACACCCAAAGTTTCCGTCTAGGGCATGGTACTAGCCACTCAACAAAACTTAGAAAAGGAGAGAGCAAAGGAAGTTTGTCACCTGAATGAGTAGGCAAAATCCTACTCCACTTGAGGCCTACTTAGGGCCAAGTCCATCGATGGGAAACAAAAACCCCACTTGGACAAGGAAGCAACAAAACAAGATTAAAAAGGTCTAAATTAAACAAAACTTCCTAGATCAGAAGATTGCTGAATTTAAATATATATTGTATCCATCTAAAGGAGACATAGAGAATGTGTCAGTAGATTCATCAACAAAAGGAAAAGAGAAGACGAAAGAAAATAAGGCATGTTTTTAGATGAAGAAGCAGATGGACTTTGAGGATATAAAGTCCTTCCTCAGAGATAATGCAGTATGCAATATGAGATTGGCTCAGCCTAAAGCATTTAAGGCTAAGCCTAGACAACCAAGTCAATTGGCAGGAGATATGGAAGACAACATTGAGTCAGTAACAGTGTTTGCAAAAACTGTGAAATAGTTTGGACCTGATGAAAAGTCGTATAACCATAGAGCAAGAAGGCCAAAGTTTTCTTCGAAAAGCTCACAACCCTTGCCCTACATGATCCATGACAATACCACCCGCTCCAACTTAAAAAAAATAATAGCGGGAGTATGACACATTTTATACTTAAAAATGGTGTCGAGGGGACCCACTTCCTCATATTTGGATTGTGTTAACAATAATAATGATATGTGCACCATCTCATCTACAACATTTGATGTGGTATAATCTCAACTATCAAATATTCAATGAATTTAATGAGACCTACTAATCTAATAGTTCATATTGAGGTGATGTATAAAGGTGGTACAGAAAAATGGTAAATATATCATTGATCTCAAACCTATTTTTCTTGTATAACAAAAAATCGTTAATCAAGTGTCTTTAAATTTATGTTTACAATGTAAAATTCAAATTCTCAACCCACTTGCAATAGTTAAATATGGAGTTTATGCGACTTTATAGTGTTTTCATTTAAAAGTTAAAATATTAAGCAATAGGCAATACGTCTTAAATTGGTAATTTCCCTACAAAAACATATATATGCATTTCATTGCCTTTTTAATGATTACATTGAAAATTTATAACGTTTGAATGCTTAAAAGTGAATTTTGAAGCGTCGAAGCATTAGCCATCTAGATAGAATAGAATGATGAGTAGTAGTGAAAGACTAGTCAATCCTACTTAGAATATATTTAGTCTATACAAAGAATTGAGAAAATATGCAGCGGGAAGCGATGGATCAGTACCAGCACCAGCACCAGCACCGACTCGACTCCTCCTGAGTTCGCGGGGAAAAACGCCTACGACCTCCTAGGGGTGTCCGAGACCAGCTCATTCGCCGAGATCAAGGCTTCTTTTCGTAAATTGGCCAAAGAAACCCACCCCGACCTCGCTCAATCGCCCAATGATTCCTCTACTTCCAATCAGTTCATTCAAATTCTCGCAGCTTACGAGGTTTGTTCTTGTGTTGAGTATCGCATTCTGTTTTTGCTGCTCAGTTTTCTTTCTTAGGAATATTTGGAGTCATTGACTTGCTTTGTATTTTAACTGATTGTTGTGGAACGATTTCGCAAGTACAGATATCAATGATTACAGCACCAATTAGCAACTTTTACTTGCAGGAAAACTAGAAGTCGATATGAGAATTACATATATTGTTTAATCCGAGTTTATCAATGCGTCTATTCTGTAATGTGCATTCATAATGCCTTACTATTTAAATGTCGTAGTCTAAACATTTTTTCTTTTTTTACATTTATCCATCAAATTGTTGCTCTGAATTTATTAGTGCGGGATGAACATGAAAGTGAACCGTGACATTGGCTTCCTGCATATCAGCTTTGAATACCCTAGGATTGGTGATTGACATGTTATACCTGATTTGGGAAAAAAAAAAACTAGGATAACTTACAAGTAAATTACTTATGGAATGAGTTGAGATTTATTCTCTTATACATGTAGAGATGTTGACTTCAATCTGTAACTTATGCTTAATAATCGTTCCTTAGTAGTAGATATTGCTAAATTGAACTTTTTTGAAGGTTCTAGACCATATGATATAATGTATATGGCATGTATAGTATTCGGAAGCAAATTTTAACAGGTTGGTTTGCTTTAAACATACAAGGGAAGCCTTGACTATAGTTATCAGTTATGAAATGCAGATATTATCAGATTCTGAGAAGAGGGCGCTTTATGATCGTTATCTTTTGTCTCAAAGAACACTTGTTCAAAGACATTCCAGACAAGGTACACTAGTGTACAAATATGAATTTCATAGAGCAACAGTGAAGCAGATGGAAGTTGTTGAGTGGTTGAGATGGTATAGATGTGCCATAAATGACATTTTGACAGAGAAAAGGGTGGTAATTGGCTCAGGCTATTTTGATGTACTGGAAAGGGATTTCTATTCAGCCATACATGCTGCGTACTATGGCCCTGAGATTGAGTCCTTAGATCTTCTTCCCGACCGTTTTGAAGCTGAGGAGAGGTCTATATCTGAAACTCCTGAGGTGCTGCATTTGGTTTCAGGTCGAGACCTTTTTGGAATGGTATGCATAGCAGCCAAGGTTCCTGAATTATCACATGTATTTAAGGGAAAACTTGTGTCTTTTACATCTGTGGGTTCAGACTCGTACCATTCTGTTGATAATGAGGACACTCGAATGAACTCTGGCATAGCTGATGTTGAAACAAGTCAGATGCAATCCAAAGGTATTGATCATCAGGCATCTGATGCATATAAAGATCTACAATTGCAGATAGCAGGGCAGGTTGTTGCTACAGCCATTAGAGTCCCGCCTAGGAGTTATTGTGATGGGTTACAGAGAGAAGATTCTCACGATCACATACATGTGTATCTCAGCTCAAATGCAGTGTCTGTGAGTCAGGGGTCTCTAAGAGATTCCTTTGTGGGTGATGCAGTTGGATCTTGGATCCCACTAGGAGCAATAACTGGATTAGGGACAAGCCCTGACGAAGGATCTTGCTTTGTCTACAATAAGGGGTGTTAAAACCCATGTGATTATAATGCACAGAACGTTGCTGGTGTGTATACTTGCTCCTTTTAAATTTCTGCTCTTTTGTATTTTATTCTTGTTAAATTCAAAATGGTATTCCTATTCCAAAAATATACCTTATTGTATTATTTTCAGTCTGACCTTTGCATTACTGTAAGTATGATTGTTTTCCAAAAGGTGCATATGAAAAATCTTGTGTAGCATTTGTTGGTATATCTTAAAGACCCATTCATGGGTTGAACTTGAATTCAAGAATGTAAACTTGTAACGTAATACAATCTTCAACAAGAAGCCACTAGCCATGCTTCTCTAATGGAACTGTTTTGTCCCCTTTGTAGGGAGAAGTGGGATGCTTTGTTCATTTCTGAAGAAATTGCTTGGATCAACCATGCTTTTCACTCTTGCCAACCTCTCAAAGTTACCCTTGAAGTACTTCTCCCCCCAAACCTTAGCCTGTGCATAGCTTGTGTTCCCCACCTGGTTCGAACTGAGGTCGAGATCCTTATAGTTCAAGTATGCAGCCCTAGGAGATTGAGAAACATAAGGGGCCATGTATTCATACAGGTCCTTCATCCACTTTTGATGTCTTGAATATGTGGTTGCGTTGTTATTGTACCATTTCACCAAGTACTGTATGTTGTACAAAGTGCCCTTCCTGTGGGGAAATGGCAGTGCAGACTTTGAAATGTTGTCCATCTGCCCACCAAAAGGATCAATTATCATGTAAACCTGAGTGTCTTCTTCCAAAAATTTCTCCCATATACCTTCCAAACCTTCTGGTGAAATCGGGGTCGTCACAAAGTCTGATTTCCCCTTGTAACTTGACCTGTAAATGTCAGTTCTGTTCAATAAAACCATGTCCAAGGTGTTCTCCGTCTCGTCGCCGCCTCCAAGCCGGAATGCTGCCGCATGGACCCATGTCATTTCTTGGAGGTCCTCTTGCTTCACTCCCAACTCAGGAAACGTCTTGTTTAGTAATGGAATTAGATCCCATTTGCTTCCAAGAAAGAGCGACTCAAACTGAACTTTGATTGTCTTATCCTTAATCACCTTATTTTCATCAAGAGTCTTTTTTGTTGCCACCAAGCCTCTGATGAAGAGATCTTTGGGTAGTTTATGTGCAATACGTTGCCACTTATATACTAATTTCGTAACGTTTTCGATTCCAAACACACCAATATTAAAATATGTCACTGTGGCTGGAATTTGAACCAGCTTTAGCTTCCAGGAAAGTATGACTCCGAAGCTTGCCCCTCCACCTCCTCTTATGGCCCAAAACAAGTCCTCGCCCATTGTCTTTCGGTCAAGAATTCGTCCATTGACATCAACTATGCTAGCATCTATAACATTATCTGCTGCAAGGCCAAACTTTCTTAGCAGAACGCCAAGTCCTCCACCGCTAATGTGTCCACCAGTGCCTACACTAGGGCATAACCCTCCAGGAAAAGCAAGGGTATTCGTTCTGGTGCCAATATTGTAGTAAAGTTCTCCAAGAGTTGCCCCAGTCTGAACCCACGCAGTTTGTTCTTCCACATTGATGTCAATGGATCGCATATTGACCAGGTCGATGATGATGAAAGGTGTCTTGCTGAGGTATGATTGGCCTTCGTAGTCATGGCCGCCACTCTTGACTCTGATTTGCAGGCCAAGTTGCCTGCTGCAAAGTACAGCCGCCTGGATTTGACTCTCATTGTTGGGCATTAAGATAAGGGTAGGTTTTGGCAACGGCACTGTGGAGTTTACCCATCGGGTGTTTTGCTGGGCAGCGTCGTACCGAGATTTGTACGTCGGCGAGTCCGGAGTGAAGATGTTTTCCGTGGGGTGGGGTTTGCCAGTTAAATGCTCGGACATGCACTGACCAAAGTCTTCATGAATAGATGCTGCATAACAACTTACCCATGAAACTGATAGCAAAAACAAAGAAACAAGTGCAAAGTTAACACCCATTTCTTATCTCCCCTCGTGCTTACAGGATTACAGGTTCTGTCCTGTAACTAGGATAGGGAGAGGGAGAGGGAGAGGGAGAGATTGTGTGGCAAACAGGATTAGAGGTTTTATCCTGCAACGACAGAGAGAAGAGCCAAATGGCAACTAGTATATAGAATTAAAGCTTGGGCTATTTATAATAGAGTTATTTGGGTCTGTAATCTGAATATGGCATATGATAGGCTTTGAATTCCTTTCCGTGCCCCTAATTTATGAGGTCCTATATTTTAGAATTTGAAAATTCCTTGTCCTCACAATGGACCGAAGTTCCAGCATGCCAAACCAATTCCATTAGTCCCTTCTGTCTAGATAAATGATTTTTTTTGTCTAAAGATAAACATCAAGCTGTCTATTGAAGATTCATATGAAGCTCTCTCTCTCTCTCTCTCACACACACACACACTCTATCATCATCATTATCATTTTGGAATCATCGACTCCATTACTAAATTCGCCTACAATGGTGAAACCAAAGAAGAAGAAATTGGTGAATGATTAGGCTTGGAAGAGGAGGGAAAATCGAAAAAGGCCGAGGCCCGGGCAGGGGCGGGGGCGATGATCGTAACATGCATGAAACTCACAAAATAACACGTAAAGTATATATTTAGGTAGTCACATGAAATAAAACAAGGCAAGGTTTCAAGCAGAAGATTCAATACATGACATCAGAGACAATGGTGTCGATCATTCAAATTCCTAGCAGTGCCTAAAAAAGTTGGAATAAA